GGAGAATCTCCTTGGCTGCAGCTGGGGAAGAAGCCACGATCGTGGTGATTTGGCCCAGCTTGAGGCTCATCAAGGGACCATGAATCCTGGCGAGATCGGCCAGCGATTTGTGTGGGTTGAAGCCTAGGTTGTGGAGGTTGCCGATTATAGGCAGCCTGGCGGGACCCGGCGGGAGTTTGGCCGCCGGAGCTTTACTTGCCAGCAGGAATCGGAGGACGGTGATGGTGAAGATGAGGCAGAGTAAGCAATTCAGTACGAAGAGGAAGAACTCCATTTTCTGTGGCTGCAACGGTCTGGAAAATTCCCTGGTTGCTATATATTGATTTGATTGTGGATTGTGATCGTGGATGGAAGTAGACTATTCAAAGAAAAGTTACGTGGCCCATTTTGCTCTGCATAACAGTGACAGTGGACTAGTTTTCCTTCCAGATGGGGTAACAAGACCGCCGTCTCCAATCAGCGACGATTCAGGACACAGTAAAGCATTCGACTGCATTTCATTAAAAAATTAGATACTGAAAAAAAATCATATTTTTTTTATTCAATTGTACACGTCGATCTTTTCAATTTTAATATAGTGAATTCATCAGTAATTAATGAAGTTTACATCCACACCAATAGCATACTCTTCTTAAGATAAAATAGTTAACCAATTGGCGAGAAATTCATCGCTCATTTTGTTACACAAATGTTAACACTGGACAAATTAATCGACTAATCAATATATTGTTTATCAATTCCTATTTTCACCAGCTGCTCTAGTAATTTCTTAAGAGAATAAACCTCATTTTTTTAGTCTTTTATGTTTTAGAATTTTAGGTTTCATTGTTTGTTTTTCTTTATATGAGAATCATTAGAGCTAGAATGTTCAGGCTAAATTTAGAGTTATGATTTGAATATGTTCATCCCATTTCCTAATTATGCACAATTTTATTATAAAATAATACTGGATCAAATGACTAAAATCGATAAACTAATAAGGACTATACTAGTTCCGAATCAAGGGGAGTGCTGGGTCGTGGCCCGGGGGTGGCCACCCTTGGATCCACCACTGTCTCCAATAGAGAATACTGAGCCTAAGAGCCAACCATACCAAACTTAGTTTACCAATTCGTGGAGCGGGAACGAAAACGAGAACATAAATGTGAAAGCGTCCACTTCACAAGAATTCTATTATAAAAGCTATGGTATTAGAGCATTATGTGACCGAGAGGTCTTGTTTTCGAATCCCGGCTACCCCATTTGTGAAGCACATGTATTCCGTGTTCAGAACATGTGCAAACGAAAGCCTCTTATAAGTTGACTATGACTATCCACGATCAACTGGCCATCTATGTAGATGTTACCGCCAAAATTACTAAACCACAGATTCCCACCTTTGTCTAGACATAAGAGATGTCACTATCACAATTCACTTCTCTATTTTATACCATGTATGAACAAGTTTGCTACTAGTTTGTCTTCTCCCAACATTAACCTTCCCCTTGCTGTTTCCTTGCACATCAACATCACAATAAATTCCCACGACATTGAAGAGATTCCTTAGAAATCTTTGGCTTCTATATTGTCTCGACCATCATAAAATACCAAGTTTGAGGCCTTGGAAATGCAGACTTTGGTATGGATACATGATACTGTAATTAATTAATTAAAATCCTTTTGCTGATCCTTCATGTCACTCTTTTGTTTGTATCATGTTCGAGGAGGTGACTATATAATAAGATAAAGATGGTTTAGCAAGTTTATTATCAAATTCATAAGGTTGTTCATTGGTCATTATTACAGGGTAATCGAAATATGGCCAGGACTTCTGCAGTTTCAGTTCTGGTGGTTCTGTTGTTATCGGCAGCTTCATGTTTTGCAGCAAGAACTAAGCTTTCTATAGGCAGCAGTGAAGGTACGAAATCTGTGGCTCATTGGGTTGATGATGGTGGCATTTGTCGATCGATGGTCGAATCGCAAGGCTATGCATGTGAAGAACATCAGGTGAAGTACTTGTTTCCTCTCTCTAGTTTTTCCTCAAATGAACTCAACTATGCAAATTATGGTTCTAAATTGTGCTTTTGGTTTGCTGATATTTTTTTCCAGGTGACAACAGAAGATGGTTACATACTTGGGATTCAGAGAATGCAAGTAGCTAAGTCTGGCAAGAAAGCATATAAACCACCAGTCCTTATCCAACACGGATTATTCAGTGTTAGCAGAGCCTTTCCAAACTTTGTTCAAATTGATTTAACATAATACTTATACCAACACGGAAATTTTCTTACTACTGTAAACTTCAATGGCAGGATGGTGCAACATGGATGCTTAATTCCCCTGCTGAATCTCTGCCATTCTTGTTGGTCGACGACGGTTACGATGTTTGGATTGCTAACAGTCGTGGGACGATACACAGCCAAGGACACACATCATTGAGCCCTAATGATGGAGTAATTAACTTAATCCTCTACCATCTATTTCCAGTTTCATTAAAAGAAATGTCGAGTTCATCTGCTAATTATGTTTTAACCATAATATTGCACGCAGGCTTACTGGGAATGGTCATGGGAAGAGTTAGCAGATTATGACCTTCCTGCTGTGTTCCAATATGTTTATGATCATACGGGACAACAGAAACATCACTACATCGGACATTCCTTGGTGAGTTGATCAAACATCCTTAATTATTGATTTTTCTTGAAACTAATGACAGTTATAAAAAATTGAACTCATTTGTTTTGTGTTTGTCAGGGGACTTTGACAGCATTGGCTGCATTTGCAGAAGGGGACTTGTTGAACATGACAAGATCAGCTGCTTTGCTTTGTCCCATTGCTCATCTTAATCACATCACTTCGCCTTCGAAAATCGCTGCTGATATGTACTTGCCCGAGGTCTGAGATTTCATCCAATTCTTCGAAGTGCTTAATCAGGATCCTGCAAATATGTTCACTCTCTTTTAACATGTTTTTGCATTGCTATTTGGGACAGGACATATATAATCTTGGATACAGGGAATTTCTGAAAGGAGGGTAAGGAGAAATTAAACCATAGGGGAATCTCTAAATTACCATTGATTATTATGGTACACCACTCGTTAACCAGTACTACTTTGTTATTTCTTTTTCTGTAAAAACAGACTGGCTTTTACCAAGTTCCTAGATGCTGTCTGCAATAAACCTGGAATCAACTGCACTGACTTGGTAGCTGCTATGACAGGTAACTTCACTTGCAAACTTCTCAGTTTTTCATCATTTAGACATAATGCATGAATTTCAGACAATACATTATTTCATCCTGCATAATCTTTAGCAGTACATGCATTTCAGATGTATTTGCTGTCACAACTTCGAATCATTGCATTCTAGCAATCAACTCATTTCAAACTACACACATTATTATCAATCACATATTCCAAGTTCCAACCTTGGTAATCTATCTACACAGGTCCTAGTTGCTGCGTGAATGCGTCGAGGGTCGACCCGTTCCTCGACAATCAGCCTCAACCAACATCAGTGAAGAACATAGTCCATCTCTCCCAAAGTAACTCTTATCTTTTCTCTCTCAATTGATAAACACACCTCTAATTGTTATGTTACAAACAAAAAAAAAAACCTGACATTCTTTTCTATGAACAGTGATAAGAACAGGAAACATAACAAAGTATGACTATGGAAATGAAGCAGACAACATGGACCATTATCACCAGCCAACTCCCCCTGCCTACATCATGTCCAAGATTCAACCTTCTTTCCCTCTCTTCCTTGCATATGGAGGCAAAGACATGCTTGCCGATGTAGATGACATGGCAATCCTCATAGACAACCTGAAAGATCACGATGACAGCAAGCTGGTTCTCCATTTCGTGGACTCCTATGCTCATGTAGATTTCGTCTTTGGCGTGAATGCTCATAGTGTTGTGTATGGTCCAATCATGGACTTCTTCAAGCTCCATTGAAATTGTAAAAAAACAAGCTGCAAACTTTACTTCTTGTTGTACATCTGTAAACATATAAAAAGATTTCAACTTTCCATTGAATACTCAAGCAGAATCGATATCTCCCAAAGCAGTTCATTTCATTTATACATCTGTCAAATGTAAATGTTTGGTCTGAGACTGAAGTGATTCTGAGCTGCAACAAGAGCAGCTAGAAATGGATCATGATCATCTCCTCCATCATTTCTAGATTTCCCTCTTCGCGACACGAACAACTCCTCGCAACGAACGGCTCGAGGAGGTGACGACGACAACGAACTGACTGCATCGTTCTGATCACAGCTCTTGGTGAAGAACCTCATCATTTGCTTCAACTTCTTACCACATTTGGCCAGCTTCTCCATTGTTCTGAGACTTTTGAGATGTGGGTTTTCTTCCCCTGTTCTGGGTTTCTTTCCTTTAATTGGTTTGGATTCGGTGGGAGGCGATTGCTATACCCTTTGCTTTCATATATAGTTGGGCATGTCACATGGATTTCGTGTTCCTGTGTGGAGAAGCATTTGAGCAGTTTAGGCCAATGAGCTCATCATGAGCCTTGTGTGTGTTTTTTTCCTCTTTATCTTTTTTGTTCTCAGTTTGTTATGTGGAGGTTTTGGATTGATGATACCAAAGCACAAAACTGAAAACAACCAAAACCTCAGCCGTTAAAAAGTTGTAACAAAATGTGTCTGTGCAGAGAAGGGGTTGATGTCACAATCTATACAAGGGAGCAGTACGTGATTTAAGGGAAAAGATGCTCAGCAGTTTAAATGGCTAGACTATGATATTCGATTCGTCGGTTAGCGGGTTACACCAATAACTTATCGATTACCGACGGTTAAAGTTATACGATTAATCAACTAGCTATAAGTTAGAAGTGCGGTAAATTATCTTAACTATGAAGGAAAAAGGAACCTAAATTGCATTTGAAACAAATCAAATCGAACATGTTTGATTCTTATTTTTTCTCCACTTTTGATTCTAACCTATCCTAATTCGATCCAGTACGGGGCAGAATCGACCTAGCCTCAGTCAAAAGATTAAAACCATACTCAACAAATAACCCAAAAACATAAACAAGTGCTTTTGAAGCACATTATTGTCTGTAAATGTTCCATCCAAAACTGGTGGTGGCACTTTCTCTACATTCCCACCACCATCTTCCATTTGCATAACAGTAGTAAAAAGGACAACAAAACCCCTCTCAAAATTCTACACAACAACAACAACAAAACAGAGCAAAATTAAAGGGAAATGGTCTATAAACATGTTTCTGTCTATCTCAAAAAACAACACCAACACACTCGTCTCACCTGCTCTTCAAAAGTCTTCTAATGGCTGTCTTCCATTCCGTCCATGTACAAAAGGCTTTTCCTTTCTCACAAAAACGGCTGCCTCCTTTTCAACTTTGTTGAACAACTTCACTGGTCATGATCGTCATGTCTCCTAACCTCTTCTGTCATCTGCTCGAGACGATCCCTCCACTCCATCATCGGCATAGAACAATGCTCGCTACTAGCCACGACTCGAGACCGGTCTTGTTCCTTCTCCGCCTCGTGATTCTCACTACTCCCGCCTCCTCCTCCATCGTCTGTAGTTGCTGACTCAGGCTGCTGCTGCTGTTGGCTCATCATGTGCATCAAGAGCTCTTCCGGCCTCAAATCAGATGTCCCCGAGTTCACTCCAGTTGTCAAAGCGAGATCATGGTCGATCTTCCTCCTCTTCCCGCCGCTGCTGTACAGCGCGTCCAGCTGGTGGAAGTACGGACAAGTCTTCGAGTCCTCGGGCCTTGCCTTGCTGCTCTCTTTCACCCTTCTGAAGTACTTGTTCATGTTCTCCCATTTCTCCTTGCACCTCTTGGCACTCCTGTCAAACCCTAGTTTCTTCATCTCTAGTGACACTTCCTCCCACAACGGGCCTTTAGGCCCACTCTCCTGATACTGCATGTCGAGATTGGTCCTTAACCTTATCAATGCTTCGATCTCCTCCTTGGGCCATCTCGATGGCGAAGAAGAAGATGGGGTCATGGGCGTCATGGGAGTAGGAGTGTATTTCACTACAGCTCTCGAAGGAAGAGGGACTTTCTCCACTGGCAATTGCAATGGCAACGGCAATGGCAAGGGCAAGGGCATTGCTCCATTGGAGAACTTCTGCAAGAAAGCAAGCACCGCGGCATCCTTAGCAGCCACACTAGCTCTCTCGCGAGCCAAGTCTTCTCGTTCTTTCTTGATTCTCTCCAATTCTTGTGCCTTCCATGCTTCTTCTCTTGCCATTCTATCCTTCTCAAACTTTTCTACTGCTTCAATGAACTTCCTCTGTAAGCTCTCTTGCTTCTCCACAACTCTAGCAAGCAATCCATTGAAGAACTCGGTGAACTTCCTCTTCTTCTTCTTTGTTCCTTCTGATTCTTCTTTGCTTGGAGTAGAGGTGGTTGAAGTTGAGCTGCTGTCTACGAATTGCATAGCGGGGCTGTATACTGAACACGGCATTGCATCTATGGCGGGACTCTGACTAGCTTGAATCGTACTAGGGAGTGGAGCAGCCATTGATGATGGAGGGGTGTTCTCTAGAGCTTCTAACTGGGAAAAGAACTTATAAATCTTTCCATTGGGTCTGTAGGTTCTTCCGTCTTTAGTTCTCTTATGGTACTTCTGAGTGTTCTCGAACTTCTCCTTACACTTTTTGGCGCTTCTGGTGTATCCAAGCTCGCTCATTCTCCTGAATTTCAACAGTTTTATTTAACTAGCTTAGTTCCTATCTATTCCCCAAAAATTCAAACAAATGAACTCTAAAAATCAGAATTTCGAAAGGAAAACAGCAAATTGGGAGACACCCACGAATCATTTTTTGCAATTCTGGAACAGGGCAGGTCGTACTTATTTTTTCTCATGGGCCAAACCGACATACATAACGCTTTCCCGCCGTCATTAATTTTACCGGGAAAATCGAAGCCGGCGAGAGGGAAATGAACTAAAATCAGAGAGAGAAGAGAAGTGGGAGAGAGGGGAAAACAGACCTCGAGATTACTTCCCAGAGGGGAGCTTTGAGGCTGGAGTCTCTAAAACTGGCGTCCATCTCCGACCTTATCTTCAACAGTGCTACCGTCTCCTCTGGCGGCCACCGGTTCCCTCCTCCGCTTGAGTACTGCAGGTCCTGGCTCCCTCCTCCTTCCCTCCCCCGCAACTTCATCCTCTCCTCTTCTGTCGCCACGCCGCCTCCGCCGTTGCCGCTAGTCATCAAATTCGCCGGCGAGGTCGAGACTTCCATGCTCTGAAGTGAACGGTAAAATCAAGCTCAGTTAAGTTAAATTACTTTTTGAAATTTTAGATTTTGTTTTCTGGGTTGCTTCAGATTTTAATTTGCAAGAAATGGGCTCTGACCATTTGGGGGATTTTATCAGGGTTTAAGGTTGAATTGGAAAATCCCAAATCCACTAGTAGGGTGAAATACAGAGGGAGGGGAAAGGAGGGTGAAATTAGGGTTTATTGAGAAGAGGAATGAAGCAGAAAGGGGATAAAGTTTGGTGAGAACAGAAGGGAAGTGGTGATGAAGTAAAGATAAAAAGGAAAAAAAAAGGCTAAATAAAGAAGAAGGAAAAAAGGCAACAACAGCTGTCAAGCTGATTTTATTTTGACATGTCAGAGTCTGATTAGTTTGCAGTCAATTTATTTGGATTTTTATGGTGGTGGTGGGAGGGAGGATTGATATTTTTGTTTAATTATTAGGGGGGTGTTAAATTTTGGGGGGAGAAATTTTGACTTTGGGGTCAATGAAAGTGGCTAGAGCCATGTGAGAACTTGTGTGGAGGGAAGAAGAGGGTGAGAAATAGGGTGACTTTTTGTTTGGGTTCACATTTGGGTGATTTTTCAAGTTGTGGGGTAGCATTTGTAGGGTATTATGGATAGGCAATTGAGGTTGTGGGGTAGTATTTATGTCATTATGTGGAAAAGCAAGTAGTGAATATGAAAGATTTGTGTCGATTGAAAATGTGTAATTTGCATTCTATTAAAACTATATGATAAATTTATTTGTTGTTTAAGTTCTACAATGGATTGAATTTTATCCCTATCCAATTGAGCACAATATCGGAGATGGCAGAGGTGAAAGCCTTCAAATGGGGTTTAAAGCTAGCGAGTGTGCAAAGTTTCAATCAGCTGTTTGTGAAAACAATTATTGCATAAACTGAACAAGGAGATTGTGAAGTAGAGATGAAAAATGTATCAATCATATTTGATGACAAGAATTGTTTGCTATGAAGAAGAAACGAAGGTGTGGTTTGACAGGATCCCAAACTTTTCATTACCACAATTGCTTATAATTTGCATTCAACGCATTATTCGTTAATTGAAATTTCGGGCACAACATAACCAAAAAAGAAAAGAAAAAAAAGCTTAACAGGTAATTTCCTTATCTTTCTTTTTGGTGGAAAAGTTATTTTCTTTCTTTTAATTGAAAACAAGTCCTTTTTGGTCCCTCCACCAAAAGTTACAAAAAAAAGAGAGAAGGAACAACATGTAGAGAAGGGAATAAGGGAGGGACAATGACAAAACAAGGAGCCAGAATAATTCGAATTCAAATATTCTTTGTCATATTACACTTCAAACAGATAATAATTCAAATGTGATTAGTAGCATAGCCCCCTATTGATAATAATATGCATTTCCCCTCTATAATCGTTGTTCTTTTATTAACCCCCACTTAGTCAAAACAACCAATCCCTTAACCCTAGTTCTCTACCCAATTATCCCCAAATCTCCATACTTCCTTAACTCCTCTAGCTACTAAGAATAAAATGATAGATAGAGAGATCAGAGAAGTCATTGATCACTTGTAAACCATATTAGAGGTTTTGTATCCGAAAACTTAGCAGTAAGATCTTTATGCTAAAATTGTTGTTCAACCATTTCATACCGATAAAAACCCTCTACTAATTTAGATTCCAATAGGAAGTTTTCCCGATCGGACTGCCGACACGATACGGTTTTACAAACACATCTACAAACCATAATTGGAGCAATGTACAGACATAAACGAACACTTCCTCCTGTTGTTGAGTTTCATGGGCTCGGCTACATTGCCTCTTGACTCCAATCATCAACCAACATTAATCTACAAGTTACAATGCACAGCCAAGCAAAAGCTCCCTAAAGGCCACGAGATCGTTAAACTAGAATGCAAGAGAAAGAAATGACAGAAGGAGAGATTACCTTAGTTGAGCTACCTGGATGGGATAGACAGTTAGGAAGAGGATGGAGTTTGATAGAGATGGATTTCCTGAAGCAACAACGACCTCGCCCTATTCACAGCATTGAAGCAAAGACATATGTGTTCCTCGAGATCACCCAGCTGATGCATCAAGTATACCTGGTTCCTCTGCACCTGCTTCATCACCTCCGTCACAGTGTACACTTCCTTCCCTCTCTCCAACCCCAGGCGTATCAAGTACCTATCACTCTCCACCGCATCATACAGCCGCGCCACCAGCCGATCAATCGTGTCGAGATCGTTGTTCAGCACGTAAGCTCCTCTAGCAGCAGCATCCAGCTGCTTTACGTGGGCAGCCTCTTTCCTGGTCAAGAAGTTATTGTTGGCAGGGAGGTACGCTGCAGTGGTGCAGAACGGGCATGCTACAATTGCAGCCAGGGCATGAGTGGCGATCACCACAGCTGATGCAGCGATCGCCACGGTCGAGCCTACGACGCAGAGGGCGGAAGCCAGGGTGGCTCGACGGGCGAGGCGGATTCTGGAGCGGGACTTGTGGAGCCGCTGGTTCAGCTTATGTCGGAGCTGGGAGAAGCACTGCCGCATCTCCTGGAAGTTGTGGGAGCCCGGCGGAGGGAAAGGGTTGTGGAATTTGTCGAAGTGGAGGAAGGCGTCGAAGGCGGCGTCGCATTGTGATCCGCTGAGGTGGTGGTTGAGGGGGAGGACTTGGAGGAGGCGGTGGAGAGGGTGGTACATGGCGCGAGCGCGGTGGACGCTGCGGTGGAGGAGGAGGCAGAGGCGGGTGGTTTCCTCGCTGTGGGTGAAGTAGGCGGAGACGAGGCGGGTTAATGTAGAGGGTTTGGCGTGGCGGAGAGCCTCGGCGACGCTGTCTCCGTCCGGGTGGAGAACTTGAGCCATGAGGAGATGGTCCTCTTCGAGTTCAATCTGGTGGCTGTGGTGGTAATCGTCGGGGATGTGGATTCTGGACCATAGTTCTTTGTAGGAATCGGTCTGGACTGCGAAGGTGTATTCTCTGGTGAGGTTTCCGGCCGGGGATGTGAGAGTGCTTGTCGGGGAAGCACCGTTGGTGGAGGTACCTGCAGGAGGAAGCAGTTAACTAGTCTGCTTCGTTTTTTCGTTCACGCATTTGGTCGAACAGTTGGCGTGCTAAGGACAAGAGGGACAATAGGGCAAGGAAAAACAAGCCGAAAGTACACGTACCTGGGGAAAGCGGTGGCAGAGGGGGATCGCAGAGATTGATGGTTGGAGGAGGAGGAGAGGAAGCGGCTGCGGCCGAGGCGGAGGTGGAGGCTGAGGCTGAGGACTTGAAGGAAAGACATTGCAGCATTCGGAAGGGCGGGAACGGAGAAGAGTAAAGCGAATGAGCGGGAATAGAATATGGCTTGGCTGCAGTTCGCGAGGCTATGGCCGAATGGGTGGAACCACGGGCGCCGTCGCCGTCGCCGCCGGAGACACTGGAACTGACTGCTTGAAAGCGTGGAGGAGAATCGACCAGGAACAGGAAGGTTTGCTGCCGGGGAGGCGAGGCCGCACGACGGCGCGGGCGAAATAGATATGGCAAATGCGCGCGGGATTTCGTTTTGGTACCCATTCATAATATTTAGGACAAAAAGGGACATTGCTAGTAATTTGATGTTAATTAAAAATATGGGGACCCTTAATGAGGGGATTTGAGTAGGTTAATTTAATGGCCAATTTTACAATTTTATTATCTTTAAGATTATGTCACAACCCATATATATGAAGTTCAATATCAATTTGAAAGAAATTCGTATGCTGAAATTATGAACCATTTTTTTCTTATTGGCTCAATAAAATTCACATAAGTAAAATAGAGTTTTAATCCCCATCTCCCCAATTGAGGGATTAGTGTGCAATGCAGAAGTGACACTTATTAGAGTCATGGGATCTTCTCTTTACCCTTCTACTTCTCTTTTACTCTTTTACACCAACTTTTAATCATTTAGCACAAGTATTAACACAAGAGAGTAAAAGAATGAACAAATAACTAATATCAAAATGGAAAGGAAAATGGTAGGAGTATAAATAATTAGACTTAGATGGGCAAAGAGAGAAATGAAAAGTCAAGGTAATTAGCTCATATAATCAAGTCTAACGGGTCAATAGAAACAAGTCAAAGAGAAAACACAGACCGATCTAACGAAAAAATGTTTTGAATGTGTAAGTCAAAGTGAGCGTACGTTAGACTAAAACATTTTAGGTAATGGTTTCATCATTTTAGGAAAGACCATAACAAGACTAGAGAATGACAGCTATCACAGATTCTGGAATAGATATGATACATTGAGCAGCAATAAAACGCATGTAACGCACAGTCAACACATTTAGTACAATGCGACTCCACTCTTGTACACTCCCTAGTATAAATAGAACAACCGGCCTCTGGAAATGACCAGAAACATCATCTAAAATCCATTTTATTCTCTCTAGAGTTTCTTACAGTAATCTTAAGAAAGAACTTAACGCCTATACTAGATTTCAAAAATCCAGAAGACAATTTCCTTTTTTTTTTAATCTTTTCTCTCTACCTTCAACTGCCATTCACTAATCTGCAACACAAGAAAAAGGTAAGCCTTATTTTCTCTAAATTTCCTTTAGATTCATGAATTCAATCCCTAATTCTTCTTCCATTCTTGTCCTCTGAGCTATCTTTTCTTTGCTGCCTTCCTTAGAACCTTTAGCTCTTCTTCATTGAAGCCAAAAGTGCTTTGTTAGTCACTGAACTTTTCCATGATGAGCACCCAATTCCCATATAGCAAATACCCCCTGATGGCCTGATTAATAAGTACAAGAACTATTATAACCCCGCGAAAAAGTTTGATGACCATTACGTAAACTTCACACCACACAGTTTATACAAAACCAGAGGTTTTCTGGTTTCTTCCCCTGAAGAAGAAGATCTAACATTACCGAAACTCAGGAGCTCCTCAACTCCAAGCGATACCAAAACCCACTCTCTCCCTCGCTAGCCATGGCGGACTTGCAGCCATGGATCACTTCGTTCCCAAGCAAAACATTCCTCCATGGATTCCGACCCTTATTAAAGCCTTCCATTTTGATTCACAACTCAAGGAACCATCGACGAACGTAACTCCCCTGTTTCCCTCTTTTTTGTCGTTTCAGTAGACGAAGATCGAATAATTAGCTGAAATCAGGAAGAATCCAGCTTTGAAGATGGCGAAAGGGAAGGCGGGATTTCCCGTTCCTCTTCTTGTACAGGTGGTGACCATTATAGCTCTTTCAATGTCTGCAACGGCGGCCGGGTCGGGATACAGCGGCGGTTGGAGCTTGCGCAAAGCAATGTTCTCCAGAGGAGGAGAATCTTCTTCAGCTTCTTCTTCTTCTTCTTCAATGGGGTTCAATCGAGTTGGTTCCTCTGTTGTGTTTCCGCTTCATGGGAATGTCTATCCAACTGGGTATGATCCAAATTCCAGTCTTTCTAGCTTTCTATTGTGCTCAGAATTTCACTACTTTCAGTTGTGTATGCCTCTATTTTGAATGCAATTATAAGTTATAAGCTTTTCAGATGACTTCTCATCCTGAAAAGTGAAAAGCTTTGCCTTATACTATGCCGGATGGATAACGTGCTCCCTTGCATATAGTAAAATAACCTCAAAGTGCTTTTGACAGATGATTGAAGATACCTTCTTTTCCCGATTTCGGCTTTATACTGTGGTTTCTAATGCTAGAGTTAAACCATTTTTTTCTGCAGGTTCTATAATGTCACGGTGTACATAGGCCAACCACCAAAGCCATACTATCTCGATGTGGACACAGGAAGCGACCTCACTTGGCTCCAATGTGATGCTCCATGCGTTCAATGCACTGAGGTAATCTTTTGACTTAAGTTCGCAATTAGAATTGAGATAGATGAGCTGCAATGCAATGCAATTCCATTCCATGCCAGGAATCAATGTATACTCTTTGAGAACGATGGTTAAATGTAAAAGAGCTACGTTTTCACATTGTCTTGTTTCCTCTCAGTTAGCTTAGCAGGCAATGAATGAGTGAAACTTAGGGCTACGATTTTGTATAAAATTTCAGGCACCTCATCCATATTACAGACCTTACAATAACCTGGTTCCTTGTAAGGATCCAATCTGTGCATCCTTACACCCACCTGGTCACAGATGTAAAGAGAATGACCAGTGTGACTACGAGGTTGAGTATGCAGATGGTGGTTCATCACTTGGCGTCCTTGTCAAGGACATGTTCTCTTTCAACTTCACGAATGGGAAGTATCAGTATCCTCATCTGGCACTTGGGTTCGTATTACTTGCCTTTGTTTTGCTTCTATTCTTTGTGATTGAGTTTTCTAAACCGTCTAAGTAGATGAGGATGTTAAATGCTATACAGATGTGGATATGATCAACTTCCAGGAGGATCTTATCATCCTATAGATGGAGTGCTAGGCCTTGGCAGTGGGAAATCCGGAATCTTGTCTCAGCTCAGCAGTTATGGTCTGGTGAGGAATGTCGTAGGCCATTGTTTAAGCTCGAGAGGTGGAGGGTTTCTCTTTTTCGGTGATGATGTTTATGACTCGTCTCGAGTAGCTTGGACACCATTGTTGCGCCATGATTCGTGAGTAGAGCTAGCACCAAAAACTACGAATTTTCAGAGACTTGCTTACTCCAGTGAATTCAAACTTGTCTCTCACATTTCTTCATTTTGCTTGTCCCTTTGTTGTCAGAAAGCACTACTCTCCAGGGTATGCAGAACTTCTATTCGGCGGGAAGGCAACTGGAGTGAAAAACCTCCTTGTAACAGTAGACAGCGGGAGCTCCTACACTTACTTCGGCTCCCAAGCATATCAAGTCTCGCTTCAGCTGGTGAAGAAGGAACTATCTGGGAAGCCATTGAGAGAAGACTGGGATGACCGTACTCTCCCAGTGTGCTGGAGAGGGCAGAGACCATTTAGTACCATAAGAGATGTGAGGAAGTACTTCAAGCCTCTGGCACTCACCTTCAAAGACGGTTGGAGGTCCAGAACTACATTCGAAATGCCTCCAGAATCCTATCTCATAATCTCAGTGAGTCTTTCAAGCTTTCTCCAGGGGTCGATTTGTCCCTTCGAAACTGTCTACGACTACCTGTGTTCTCTGATTGCCGGTATATGTTGTGAATGATGGCTTTCTTGCAGTCCAAGGGAAATGTTTGCTTGGGGATTCTCAATGGGACTGAGGTGGGCTTGCAGGATCTGACTATCATTGGAGGTGAGTCTTTCAATCATTTGCACACACTAAATCAGTATGCCGAGCCACCCAAATCGAAAATCAAAAGAGCCTAATTGGCTTTGACAATCCATTTTAAACCAAACACAACCTGAAACCAACTAAAACCATTAACCTCGACCGAACGAACTTATAACGGTGTATCGGTATGGTGGGTTGAACAATTTGGTTCGGTCAAGTTCGGTTTAAAATGGATCTCCCATGTAAGTTAGGCTTTCCAAATATTCAACAGCTGAATGATTCTAACAGAAACAAATGGAATAGTTGTTTCGTTATATTTGCCTGCTGCTCTCTTTGAACCACATTTGTGAACTCTTTTTTCTGCTGTATGTTTTCTCTATTCTGCAGACGTCTCGATGCAAGATCGAATGGTGATCTATGACAACGAGAAGCAAATGATTGGATGGAGCTCCGCCACTGCCAATTGCGATCGACTTCCCAGCTCCTCATCCGGCTACTGAGGGGGGAATCATTGATCATTTGCTTCATAGTAGATGATGATGTAATAAGTTCATAAACCATAAAATAGGCTCAATGTTCTTGAGCCTTGAAATAATCAAATAATTCGTCTATTGTTAAGTTTCATCATTTTCAAAGTTGTTGGAATTATTGTGTGCTAACTAGTTAACTTTGGTTTCTATATTCCCATAGCTATCAGATTGACTTCCCCGTCTCTAAAGGACGGTGACACCATGCGCGATCACATCAACACTCTTAATTCATTCGTTGCGATAATCAGTTGTGACATATCTAAGAGTGTCTTGTTTACTTTCACTCAAATTGTATTATCCTAGAAATCAACAACAATGATGAGTTCGAAGGGTATAGTCGATGGCAAAATGATACTCCACACTATGTACATAAGGGAAAATAAAAATAATGCTCAGTTAAACCATCGAAACTCGATGTAGGAAACTACATCGTAAATTTTCAAGTCTTTTTTCTCCCTTCAATTTCCCATCAAATTCAGAATTTCCATTCCCCAAATTAATTTTCAGCTGCCATCTTTAATTTTGGGATCAATTGCCCCCCTCTTTAATTTGATTGCCTGCCCTAATCTTTTGGTGTCTGTTGTTGGATGGGTATAAGCCTATAAGGAATGCAACCCAAATTGCATTTTACCCTCTGATTTGAATTTCCACTTGTTTTGTACTAATTTAATACAAAGGGTTGGTAATGAAGCTAATAAGGATCACTATCCATAAAAAAAAAAATAACAATACTCCAAGGTCATTCTATTCCTAGTAATTGTAATGTAATGCATACAACAAAATTCTACACAAGAGGACTACTCATAACAATATGTTCCATACGTTGGCTCAAGAATACCTATCGCTTCTCTTTTGTATAAAATACATCTAATAACAAATAATAGTCCATGAAAGATGTTTGGATAGGGAAA